TTTTTTTTTTTTTTGCGGAACCGGGGATTGAACTCAGGTCCTTGTCCTTGCCTGGCAAGCACTTATTCTACTGAGCCATCTCCCCGGCCCCTAGAATATAATTTTTAAAAAGTGACCCAATTTAAAATAAGCAACATATTTGAAAATAAATCTATCCAAATATATAGTTAATAGCATGAAAATATAGTTTTAATTATTAATCAGGGAAATAATAATCAAAATCACTATATATCCATTATAAGAGAACCTGAAATCATCATACACTGTTGGTGAGAGTACAGCAGTTTTAAAAAATGGTCTGGCATATCTTCAGAAGTTTAATCATAATAATCTAGCAATTTCACTCCAAGGAGCTCATACCTAAGAAAAATGAAAATGTTAAGTCCACATACAAACCTGCTCATAAATGTTCTTCTCAGCATTACTCATAATAGTAAAAATTTAGAAATGCTCAAATGTCTGTAAGCTAATTATGGATATATACACAATATATATATATATATTTTTTGATATATATATATCAGAATATTAGTCATAAAAAGAATGAAGAACATCATGAATGAAACTTAAAGACATTATGGAAAACATGATCAAGAAGTGGTTTTCTAGGGCTGGGTGTATAGCTCACTGGCATAAGCACCTGCCTGACAAACTCAACGTCCCAAGTTTGATACCCTGTACAAAAAATGGACTGCTATTATATGTGGGAATTCCCCAAAATCAATGTAACTATTATGCACTGCAAATATATACTCATAAAAAAATTATAGAAAAAACCCACTCACAAAAGACCACATACTATGTAACTCTACTTTTACCTATGGGCAAAAACAGGTAAATCTGTGGAGATGGTACAATAATGGTTATATAAGATTGGTAAGAATGCGTTTGGGGAAATGAAGAGTGATTGCCAATAGGTACATGGTTTCTTTGATGAACTGATGAAAACATTTCCAAACTGACTGAAGTAGTAAGTGCACAAATTTGTAGGATTTACCAAAAATCACTGAGTACACAATTAAAATAGGTCAATTATATCCAAATGAGATATATCTCAATAAAACTACTATAAAAAACAATGAAGAAGTATGAAGGCAAAAACCAAATAATATAGTCCTACCAGAAACTGGTTTTTCTGTTTTACAGCTGAAACATGGGTAATATCAAAGACAAAGGTAGGAAATGAGGCCAAGGCAGGAAAAACAGCAAAGGAAGCTGTAGTGTAATAGGTCATTTTTTTTTTTAATCTACACGAGTCATTTATAGACACCAAATAGGTGTTAAATACTACATATAGTACTTTTAACTTAGAAGCTTGCCTGTGGAAGGCAGACAATCACAGAATAGTAGTAGAGAAAGCTATCAAATGGGGAGAAAAGTTATCTTCTACTTAAAATTCAGACTAGCTCGGTGTGGTAGCATATGCCTACAATTCCAGGGGGCTAAGGAATGAGGATCACAAGTTGAGGCCCACCCTAGACAACTTAGCAAGATCCTGTCTCAAAATAAGGAAATTTAAAAAACGACTAGGGATGTAGCTCAGTATGAAGACTCTGGGGTCATTCTCCAATACCACAAGAAAAGACAGACATGAATAATGTATAAAAGAGCTACTAATCAAGAGTTTTTCTTTTTTCTGTATTTAGGACAGGGTCTACAGGGTCTTACTACATAGATAGGACTCGTAGTGATTCTCCTGTTTTCAGCCTCCTAAATGCTGGGATTATGGGCACTTGCCACCATTCCCAGTCTTCAAGACAGTTTTAAGATGTAGAAGATAGGGGGCCTGGCCCTAGCTCAG